AACTCAGGCCCTTGCGCTTGCCAGAGAAGCACTTATTCCACTGAGCCATCTCCCCGGCCAGCCTGGGATTCAAAGTGAGTTTAAAGTTAGTCTGAACTGCATAGTGTCTCTCAAAAAGACAAAATAAAGAAATAAAATGGGCATAAATGATACTGTGTTAGCCTGAAGGTAAATGAGCAAAGGTTCATTTAGCTCACAGTGTGTCTCAATCCGTAGTTGGCCGGCTCCAAAGCGGGGCGGCACGGCAGGCGAGCGCCACAGAGGAGAATAGCTCATAGGGTGCAGAAGGCAGCAGAGCGGCGAAGAGGGAAAGAGCAGCCAAGAGCAGCAGCCCTCTTTCCGCCCCTTCTGTCCTATCCAGGCAGCAATCAGGAAGCTACAAGTGAGAAGCAGCAAGCCTCTTTCTGTCCCTTTTGTCCTGTATAGGCTACCAACCCACAGCGCTCACTCCTAGAGTGGGATACTCACTCCCAGAGTGGACACCCTCAATGCTAGCATCTCACCGCAAATCCAGCATCGCATCCTTAATCCCAGCATCACACACCCTAGATCCAGCTGCTTCCAAAAAGTCCCACCCATGCCCATATGAGGTTCAGATACAAGCCATAACCAGTATTCACCAGCCAGGTTGCAAAGTATTTAGCTCACCGTGAGCACTCACAGAGCTACTATCATCAACAGTTACACTCAACTGCTCCTCTTTTCTGTAGATCTTGATGGCTTGTGTGGTAACAGAGACTGAGCCCATGCTAGGCAAGCACTTTACCACTGAGCAACAGTCCCCAGCCTCCAATCCCTTATTTTTTAAATTTTGAGACAGTCTCACTAAGTTGCCCAAGTTGGCTTTGAACTTGAGATCCTCCTCCCTCAGCCCATTGAATAGCTGGAATTACAGGCATTAGCCATGCACCTGACCAAGATTCTTTATAAAAATTACTTGATTGCTGGATGTGGTAGTGCATGTCTATGTTCCCAGCCCTTGGGAGGCAGAGATGTTGGGAGCCATGGAAGCTGGGAATTGGTTGAATGTGTGAAAGTGGGACTGGGCCTCAGTGTCTACATCACTCAAGCTACCTCAGTCCTGAGAGAGGCATCCTAACTAGCTAAGGTCAGCCATTAGTCACTAGGCGATCTTGTGTTATATGTTATTAACTTTACGAAGATATGTTTTTAAAAAATGCCCATACTGTAGTGCTGAGGGTCATCTCGTCAACCAGGCAGACCAGCCACCACCTAACCCAGCTCTTGTCTATCTTTTCCTCATTCCTGCCACCATTTATCCCCAGGTACAATAGTTCACATTGAGAGACCACCGGATCCTTACACAGAGGCAAGAGGATCACCTCAAGTTGAAGGCCAGCTTGAACTACATAGACACTATCATGAAAATAAATAAACACATTCAAAAATTATATCGTTGATTCACTTTACAAACATTTACTAAGCACCCAGTGTGTCTGGCACTGTACTGGACAGTAGAAAGAAAATAATGGGGGAAAAGACACTTTTGTAGCTCCGGTACTAGTGAAAAAGACACTAGACAAATGTCCACACAAAATGTACAATTACATCTGTTGCACGGAGACGAGGTGGCCCCACGCCGTCGAACCAGCCCGTTCCCCACCTGAGCACAGAGGATCTGTCCCTGCACAGGGACCAGAGTCTCCCCGCCAAGTCCTGCCTATTCTGATCCACAAAATCATGAGATGCAATGAATGAGTCACTGCGTAAAGCCCCCAAAATAAAAATAATTACAACGGCAGTAATGACTAAAGCATTAAGAGAACACGAAGTAGAGGGAACAGACCTTTTCTTGATTTACGGAACTGGAGCTAAAGCTGGTTTCACTAGAAGAATGGAATTTGTTCTAATGGTGTTTGTAAATAGGATATCAAGTCCGCATCTTGTACAATTAACCACTAGGAAGAATGTATGCAATGTGTTAATTATTGAAACTGTCCTACCAATTTGATTTGAAACTGTCTCATTGCTATTTGTTTCTCAATAAA